ATTGGTTGATTGATTGATTGATTGATTCTTACTATTTCCAAAATCTGCTAAGAGTTTGGCCGCAATACGATCGTAGTTTAGGCCTTCAGCTACGCTCTGATTGATAACAACCATCTCCTCAGGAGAGAAGTGTTTGTGAGAAAAAACAAAAAAAAAAAAATATTATCATCTAATATAACTAGATAAACCATTGTATGATAAATATTGTCAATAACAATTTAATTGAGAGGATTAAGTTGTTACTTAATATCTCAACCTATGACTAATTAAGATCTTCCCTTACATCGGAAATTAAAGAGTGAGAGACAATAGGCCAATATTAAAGATTAGTCTCTGGTCAATTTGAAATCTATATGAACTTGTTTGGAAAAACTACCTCATTATATCAATCTAAGATGTTCAAGTAAATCTGAAGATTGTACGCACATTTTAATTGGTGAAGTAAGTATTATAATAGACAAATGTGTATATATGTCACCTGTCTCAACATAGAACCACAAGTCGGGAAGTATGAGATTTACTGTGAGGAACATGACAACTTCTCATTTCAAGTTTGGTGGTCTGTTCTCAACCCACTTCCCAAATTAGATTAGGGGTGTCTGTTGGAACAAATCTTAAGATTGCTTTACACACCCCACAAATCGAAACAATAACCCCACCCCATATCGATAACATTCAACTACCACAACTACAACTACTACAACAACAACAAGAATAACAACACATAAGTAATAACTGTTTTTAGTGATTAATTAAATCACTTTATGATGGGGTACAAGAGAAAGAAACAGGCAGAGTTCGATGACTATACCGATGTCTCATTCAAAGAGAAATTTGGAGTACATAAAGTCGTAGCCAAACAACTCCTTGAGGACATTAAATTCACCGAGCAACACTGGCTGATGTGGACACTGGACTTCTTGCGAAACTACAACTCTTTCAACTATAGCTCGGCACACTTTGGAGTAAAAAAAAAAAACTTAAGAAAAAAAGTTTGGATGGTGATTGACAGTATCAAACAGCTCAGCATCAAGGTAAGTAGTCTGTCATATGATTGTCCGTACGGACGGTTCGTGAGCATTAGGCATACATACCAGA